AAAGGCTTGTATCACTAAGAACTTCCCTCTCAGAACTGCTTTTACTGTGTCCCATAGATTTTATAAGGTTGTCTTTTCATTGTCATTTGTCTTGAGGTATTTTCTGATTTCCTCTTTGATTTCATTGTTGACCCATTGATTTTTTAGTAGCATGTTGTTGAGTCTCCATGTGAACTTTTTTCTCATTTTTCTTTCTGTGGTTGATTTCTAGTTACATACTGTTTTGGTCAGAAAAGATGCTTGAAATAATTTTTATCCTCTTAAATTTGAGGCTTGTTTTGTGTCCTAGTATGTGGTCTATCCTAGAGAATGTTCCTTATGTGCTTTTAAAAAATGTATATTCTATGCACGTAGAATGTAGTGTCCTGTAGATATCCGTTGAGTCCAACGAGTCTATCATACCATTATGGTATCTGTTATCTTATTGATTTTCTGTCTGGAAGATCTGTCCATTGATGTCAGTGAGGTGTTGAAGTCTTCTATTATTATTGTATCCCTGTTAATTTCTCCCTTTATGCCTATTAGTATTGTTTTATATATTTAGGTAATCCTGTATTGGGTACATATAATTTAACAAGTGTATATTCTCTTCTTGTATTGAGCCCTTTATCATTATATAGTATCCTTCTTTGTCTTTCTTTATGGACTTTGTTTTAAAGTCTATTTTGTCTCATATGAGTATTGTTACCCCTGCTTTCTTGTCATTCCCATTTGTATGAAATATCTTTCTCTGTCTCCTCACTTTAAATCTATGTCTTTGACCCTAAAGTGGGGCTGTTGCAGGCAGCATATTGTACATTCTTGTTTATCCAATCTGCCACTCTGTGTCTTTTGATCAGAGCATTTAGTCCATTGAGATTTAAAGTAATTATTGATAAGTATATAATCATTGACATTTTAAACCTTGTTTTCTAGTTGATTTTGTTGTTCTTCTTTGCTATTTTCTTCTTCTTGTTTTTATTTTTCCTTTGTGGTTTGATGGTTTTTTTTGTTGTATTATGCTTGAGTTTCTTTCTTTTTGATTTTTGTGAATCTGTGACATGTTTGGATTTGTGGTTACCCTAGTTTTCAAGTATGTTAACCCATAACGATATCTACTTATGATAATCATATAAATTCAAACACAGTCTAAAAGACCTACATTTTTTACTCCCCTCCCCCAAATTTTATGATTTTACACCCTATTTTACACCTTCTTGTTTATGCATTTGCTGTTAATTGTAGTTAAAATCACTTTTATAAAAAATTTTTTATTGTTTTTCAATCTATATACTGGCTTATTTGATTGATCTTCTATTTTTCATATATTTGCCTTTCCTATTTGTTTTAACATCTCCTAAAGATTTTTGCTTCTTCTCTATTTTCAAGAAAAGAAAATTCTTTCTTCTCCTTTGGGAACCTCTGTTATGTGTAAGTTGGCGTGTTTTGTATTATCCCATATGTTGCTCATATTTTTTTTATTAGTCTTTCTGTCTGCTGTTCTGATTAAGTAATTTTCATTATTCTATCCTCCAGATCATTTATTTGTTCTTCTGCATTATTTAGTCTGCTATTCATTGCCTTTAGCTAGGTTTTTATATTGGCAATTGAGTTGTCTAATTTTGGTTGGTCCTCTTTATAGTTCCTACTTCCTCATTTCAGTGAACTGCATTTCCATTGACAGTTTTTTCTTTTTATGAATTGACATTTTATTTACATTTTGAAAAAATAGTTTCCAAAATTTTAAAATCAAAAGGCCCCACAAACCAGAAGATCTGGATACATATGTTGATTTGCTCACTTCTTTCCCTGGAACCCTAGGACAGGGGCAGCAAAACAACAAAGGCTATGGTGTGCAGAGATACCAGGAACTCTGGGTCACATAAGCCACATCCTAGGACTATCAGACCTTCTTTCTCTTAGTCCAGGGTGATGGCCATGAGATGCATATGCCCAGAAAGGCTACGAGAATTCAGAAAACCTGTGTATTATTTGCTGGCAATGACCCAGGCCACAGGTAACAGGTTTGCAATTCCTGAGAAATTCTGCATTCCTCACCCTGTAAAACCATGGTACCTGAACATTTGTGGATGCCTCTTTAGAACCAGCTCAAACTCTTCTTTTTATGAGACTCCCCATTCAACATCACTTCACTCAGTGTTTCTGTGCCAACTTACTCTTTCCAACAGGCCCCTGACAACTAGACATAATTGGAAGATGTACTCATGAATGATATAGTGAGTAGTTATTAATATTTCAACCTTTGTCATGGTGATATAGTTCAATATTGTTTATGCTTTTTCTTTTCAAGAGATATCATTTTTATTAGAAGAAATCTGCAGATTAAATTATTTCTTTGAAAAGAATAAAACTGAATGTAAGAAGCAGGGCAGACAAATAGAGATGATATTTTGAAAATGGTGGACTTTGTGCCAGGTACAGTATGGTTGGGAATATATTAATTCCTAAGAATAATTAGTGACAAATATTCTTAAATACCTGTTTAAAAGGAATATAACTTTTAGAACTTTTTCCATGACAATAGAAATGAAATAATATGGATGTAAGAAAAGATGCATGAAATGCCAAGATTTAGCAACCTAGTTTTAAAAGTGAAATGAGATATTCTAAATCTGCTTTGTTTGTGATTGAGATGGAAACAAGTTAACTGCCTGAGTGGTTAAATCTCTGTCTCTCCATATCTTGTAGAATATGAAAACAATTTCTCAGAGGCATTTGAGAATGGAAAATCTAAATGACATACTTAGTGGTCCATTTGTCCTTTCAGTTGGAGCCCAGAGTCTCCTATATTCTGGAGGTGTGTGATGAGATAAACTGACTTTAAAATAGCCTAGGTGTTAGAATTTCCTGTTCAAACCTTAAATGACACATTGATGAGAAATCTACTTTTTCCACTCTTGCTTCACTCTGAGCCGTCACAGGGCAGTCTGTGAAGGTCACAGACATTGCTTATTCTTGTCCTAGATTTATGTTTTTAAATTTCTCCTTTTATTATCCAGCTATAGCAGACCTCTTTTATGAAAGTAACCTGAACTCCCCGCTAAAGGATGCACGACTTTCTGGCCAACAGAAGGTATGTGTCCCTCTTTTCCTGTCTCTCTACTAGCCCACCTCACTTGGTGGGAAATAACAATTATTAGGTGTGATGCAACTGAGGAACAATTATTATACAACAAAATCAAAGTATAACATTGGTGTTTTTATTTGAATAATTCAGGTCATAAAGCAACCATAAAATATGAAATATGTTGGAAGATTTATTAAAGTATTCAAATTATTGTCTATAGAAAGTCAAGTGCATCTGCACATGCATATTTGGGTTTGTAAATCAATATAATTTTAAGTGAAACCCACAAACATCATGACAAGGAACAGTTTGGGATTTTATAATCAGTAGAATGTGGGGTTTTTGTGTAATAATGTGTTAATTTATGTTTTGTTCAATCTTTATAAATAGATTCTTAGAAAGGAGTTCATTGCATAGTGTAGGCCAAAATGTAATTCTTCACACATACACTTAGATTGAGTAAGAGCAGCTTGATTTTTAATAAAAATCAGGATGAGGTAGCTTTCTAAATGCTAATTTAGATTTAATTATAAATAATCAAAGGATTAAAAAAAATTGCAAAAAAATGTACCATACTAATTAAAGACACTCCTGCTTAATAAGTTATTTCACAGAGTCTAACCGATATAAGATAGTAACATGGAAGTTGTGAATAAAATAATAATAAAACTAATATTTATTGAGAACTTGTAAGTGTGAGGTTGAATGCTCAGTGTTACATGCATTATACTTACATAATATTACTTCCATTTTAGTAGTAAAATAGATTACTAGATACTAAATAATTTTTTCAAAGGTCACAATTGTGTAAGTTTCAAAGCTGGAATTAATTTCCAGATATTTCTGACTACTGAGCCATTGACTGAATTATTTAATTATGTTCTCTGGATTTTTACAAGTAATTTTTAAATAAGTAATTACCATCACTTATACAATTAAAATGACCTTTATGAACTTTGACATCCGCAGGATCTTTCTGGAAGTTTGAAACAACAGTGTTCTTCCACAAATGACCTATACTTGTTTATCACTTTATGGTTCTCATCTTAGTCACTGAATCGATTACTTTTTAAAATAAGTGTTTTTAATCTTTTTCTGTTGTTTTATTTTCAATATTGTTAGGCTATATATAAGTTTAGTGTGTCATGTAACATTTTCCAATATATATAATATTTCTTTAATTTTTAATGTTTTCTCAGAACTCCTCAGTCATTGAAAATAAAAGACAATTTGGTAACCCCTTTAATAAGTAAATGTAAGTCACCAAATAGTGTAATTTAGTGCAGGAAATTGCTATATATGCCAACGTTACAATTTCCCTACCTTTAGAGTACTCAGTCTTTAACCATTACTGGATTTCAAAATTTTCATAGATATATTGAGTCTCTTTTTTTCTAATACAGCATTTTAATTTTTAAGACAGGCTTTCTAATGG